TAAAACACGCACCAGGAAACACATAAGACATTTTTATAATCTTCTATCACGGATAACCGTTATTTCCATATTCCTGCCTTGCTTACCTCCAGCCGTGGTGACCTGGCAAACTACTTGTCAAGCGCTAGTTTGACGAGCAAACTGCAAGTTCAGACCTCCACCACTACCACCCTCCTCTCCCCAACCGACTCCACCATCTCCGTGCTACACCTTTTCTCCTCATATTTCTCATGACTCGTGTCATAATTTTCTTTTATCTATTTCTTAATCTTTTCTCCACTACCCTCTCTCTAACTGGTGTGTGATACAGCTCTCGGGAAATCCGCAGGGACAGTACCCTGGGTGAACTAACACCATCCAGCCCCCCTGAGCATGCCATACGCCCCTGCCCCCCCACACCCCAGAATAACTCTCCGCCATGATCACGATGACATCCAGGACCTCCATCACCAACCCCCACAAGAAAATTAAGCGGATCGAAGGCATATGGGGACACACGCCGCCCAATTTCTGTTGTGTGTGTAGAAAATCCACCAAAAAGAGCGAAATCGTATCGTGCTCTCCTGACAGTCCCAACCCATGTTGCCTGGATCCCTTGCAGCCTTTCCACTGTTCGCAGACGCAGCATCTAAGGGAGCTGCAAGGGATCACTTAGAGTGTGATAGTCATCGAAGAGGAGGACGTTCACACAGATCAAGCCACTCTCTCTCCTGAATACGAGTTAACTAAACAAGAGCATTATATAACGATACTCCACACACAGCAGGCTACTATATCAAAGTTAATCAAGCAGCTCTTGATATTCGTGGACGGCAGCCTTTCTCTGGCTGACCTTCCCACTACCATCCTTTCTGCTAAGGAGCTTATTGCAGACTGCTTTGCTTCAGTGAAATCTAAAGCTGCAACTGCAAAGCTTCCGCTGAGTTTTCCACACAAACTCAGCAAGATCCAGCACTTCAAGATTGGTGGGATCAGACTCCCATCGATAAAAAGAATCCTGCTCAAAGAACTCAGTTGCCTCCGCCTCCCAGTCGATCAGAGACGGAATGAGAGACTCGTCAGCAGATTCAGGGAGGAAGGAGAGCGCAACAGAAGAGACCAGAGCCTCCCGTATGCTCACGCTGCAAACGGCGGACAGCTCGAGCGGGACTGTGACTTTTGCAAGGCAAGAGGCCACACCCTGAACAGCTGCAGGTGGAAGGCTTCGGCAGATAAGGCCGAATTACTCGAAAGAGAGCTGAAAAACTTTATGTTAGAATATCGAAGCTGTCAAACACAGAAAACAGCAGCTTACCTCAACTTCTACTTCCATCTCCGCCCCTTCAGAAGCGTTAATTCTTTCCACCCCCACACTGGACCACTCATCAACTCTTTGTTCCTTCTTGGTTACATCCCACCTTCAACAGCCACCAAGGGTCAGTATACTAAATGGCGTCACTGATTACAACCCCTCAAAATAAGCAGAGACATCTCTCAGTTCTGTCTGCTAATGTCAGAGGCCTCCGGACCAATATTGGTGAGTTGACTCACATGGCCCTCAACATCAGTGCCGATATAATAGTGGCTACTGAAACTTTCCTTAATGCAGAGGTAGAACCTGCTTTTGGTAAAATACGAGGCTACCCACAGTGGCAAAGAAGAGACAGAACAGGAAAGAACTTCGGAGATGTAGCTGTGTGCTATAAAGAGAACCTGCAAATTCAGCTGCTAACAGTTGACTTACCAGTACTGGCTGGAAGCCATCTTTATGAAGGTCATGCTGAAGTCAAATGAGTCCCTACTACTTTGCGCTTACTACAGGCCGCAGTGGCAAGGCAGGGCACCGATGGATTTCCGAACGGAAAATTTAGACGTCCTTCAGGTTCGAACAACTGTCAGCACCTTTTAATAATTGGGGACCTTAATCACCATCTCATTCAGTCAGCACATGAGGACCTTCTTGCAGTCCATGGGCTGACAGATTACGTCGATTTCCTGATGCACATCCTCGGTAAGTCTCTCGACCCTGTTATATCGGATCTAATTGAGGACTTTATCTCTTGCTCATCGCTCGGCAAAATAAGAACATCAGATCACCTTGCAGATCAACTTTGCCTCGCCCCTGCAGCTGACGAAAGGAGACAGAAAAATATGGCTTTGGAACCATGCAAGCTGGCCAAGTATGAAGGCAGAACTTCAGTCGCAAGACTGGGATGTTCTCCTGATGGGGAATGCAAACAACAAAGCATCCTCCACCACCAACCTCCTCGCTTAAGTGCAAGAGAAATACGTCCCTTCACGGACATACATCACAAAACCAGGGGACCAAGCTTGGTTTGGCTACAGGTGTCATCAAGCGTCGAAAAAGAAATACAGATTGTGGCAAAGGTACAAAGATACATTACAAATATATAGATATAGACATTATATATATATACATGTATATATATATAGATATATACATTACATATATACATATATATATACATTATATATTTTGCACTACCTCCAAGCTATTTATTTCTGATTTCTTGCATTGCAACTAGTGCAGTGCATGGTAGTTTACAATTGATCTTATAAAAGCCAAGTAAAACAGTAGTGAGCTTAACATTGATGCCATGTTCTCTTCCGACAAGAACTTTCAACGGTTTCAGTCTCTCCCAATCTCGTCTTCAGGGAAAGGATCAGGTCTGCATCATTTATGTTCACCCCGAAATATTTATATTTATGACACATGTCAAGCTCCTGGTCACCTATGCGAAAATTGGGTAGGGGTATGATACATGGCTTGAGAGCCATTGTTTTCTCAGCGGAGATGACTAATTCACTCATGAGCCCTTGCTGTGAGATTGTCAAGAATTATTTACATCTTGGGTGCCAGCACATGTTGTATTAGTGGGAATGAACTGAATAAATGAAGCTGCTGCTCAGCCCTGTGATGTTCGTTTTCCTCTCCCACACACTGACTTGAAACCCAGCATCAGTTGTTGTTTTCGTGATAAATGGAGGGAACAATGGAGGCATACCTCTAGAAAAAAAATTGCGAGAGATTAGAGATGAACTTGGCATCCATCCCAACCGACAAGTAGAAGTTGTATTAACAAGGCTGAGAATTGGGCACAAAAGAGTGACTCATTGGCCAATGATGGCTAAAAGTGAAGCACGCTGTGAGGAATGCCAAGAGCCATTAACGGTCGCATATATAGTGGAAAGATGTGCAACATTCCTAGACCAAAGACGTAGGTACTTGTCTCCCCATGTACACTGAAAAATGTATTGGGGGAGGATTTTACATAGGTCTTATTAGTTTCCTTAGAGAAACTAATATTCTCAATAAAATTTAATTATCCATAATGTTTATGTAGAGGACACTATAGGTAATTCCATCCTCACCTGGTGCAGACACTTTTCCTTTGATCAGTGTATTGTTCAGTTCCCACTCAGTAATCTCAGCAAAGTCTGAAGGGTCGGTCTCAGAACATCCAATCTCAATGGCAAATTTACGTGCAATCTGACTGATTAAGGTGGTTCTGAACATTTGTGGGATGCTCCAGCCCATTGACTAAGGAGTATATCTGCTTGTTGAAGAGGACTATGGAACGGCGGGGTTAGTTGGTTTGAATGAAAGTCGATTTATTTTTTCAGACCTCAGTCATTGAGGTGTTATTGTTAATGCTTTGTAGCAACTGTTCAAAGTGTTTATTTCTGATATGAGTTTTTAATTCCCGTAGATTTTTGTTAGCCTTGAGAAACTGAACAAGGTTGTCATGGGTATTGTCCTGCTTGTAGATATCAAAAAGCTCCTGAACTCGCTTTTGTTCTCTTAATTGTGTAGGGTCACTGACCCACTTAGGTTGTTTTGAGCATTGTGAGTTGTTGCTCTTGAAGGTTTTCTTTGGACAGACCCGGCTGTTGTAGTAATCAGTGACCACTTTCGTCATGCTCAAGGAGAATATTATCAACACTCGTTACTAAGTAATCGTTATACCATTGATTTAAAGTAGTGCTCAAGGTAAGGAGGAATAGAAATTTTAAGCCTTTTTGTTTTGGCAGAAAGACTATTATCAACAGCGTATCTTGTTACTATTGCAAAGTGATTAACTCTGTTGCAAGCATGCTTCTGACATTTCTATGCACAAGATCCCTTCCTATTACATAATCTAGCCTGCCTCCCGCCGCGTAAGTTCCCTGTCTGTATCATATACGGTCAGAGATCTATTGTTCACAAAATTTCGGAACTCTTCGTCATTTTCATTGCATAGCCTTTCTTCAAATGTATAATGTCTAGCATTAAAAGCCCCCATGCATATTGTGCCGTGATTCTGAAAGTTGGGCAGTGAATCAGTTTGAATCTTTCTACACCTGATGTATACATTGTACAGAGAGAAAAACTCAGAGGCTGTTCGAATATGTAAATGTTGATATTGCACATTATTGTCATCAGACCTCTGCACTAGATTATGCAGTATGCTGTCACATACATAAGTCAATAGGCCTGTCATTCCTGTGTTCGCATAGAAGTGGTACCTTCTAATTCTAGAGGCGGTTTTTATTTTAGTGGATGATGTGAAGGGCTCTTGTAGACAGACAACGTTAACATTATTGTTATGGATATAGTAAAGCGTCATTAATTCTACAGTTGACACCACGTATATTCCATGAGAAAAAAGGTAATTTTTTCTGGTCCCAATCACACCCTATGATTAGCTGATTGGTCAAATTTGTGTGTGATGAAGCCCTTTAGACTGCATATTTCTTGTACAGCATTATATATCTGTGCTGCATCTTGTTTATTTACACCGATTCTGCGCGTTTTCCTCATATTGATATTATATGTATAATATCTATATCGTTTTCTGAGTGATGTCCCACAGTTCGTCCGTTTCCTGCATATCACCGTCGGCCTTGTTTTCAATGTCACTACCATCATCGTTTTTAGATGATTCATCGATAGTACCTTCTGTAACATTATTAGAGACCTCATTCGTATTTACAGCATCACTAACATCATTAGAAAGCATATTTTCCTTGTCTACTCTCCGATCACTTTTTATTTCTATAACCATTATTTTTATTTCAGCAAGCTCTTGCCTGATGCTTTCATTCGTATTTTCATCATTACTAACATCATTAGAAAGCATATTTTCCCTGTCTACTTCCTGATCACTTTTTATTTCCATAACCATTTTTCTCATTTCAGCAAGCTTGCCTGAAGCTTCTTATTTCCTCAACCACTTCCTTGTTTTGTTCACCACTGGTCACCCCTATGGCCCTGTTTCCTGGGATGGGGAATCCCCCTGGCAGTTGTGGGAATTCCTGTGGATTGGTGACGTCACACGGCACTGGGTGGGGTGTGGCTGGGTTGGGCATCACCACTCTGCGGTCGATGGGTACGGTCGGAAGGTGCGTGTGACGGTTTGTGGGGGCAGTTACGGTGCCAGGCCGCTACACCTTGCGCTCCGCACCTGACGCACCTCTTCACGGTGTTGACGGTGTCTCCGTTGTCGTTGCCCTTCTCGTTGTTTCTTGCAGGCTAGTCCTTTGTCTGGTGAGGAGCTTCACAAACAGCACAGGCTGTTTCTTTCCTACAGTATTTAGCTATGTGGCCGTAACCGTGGCACTTGTAGCAGACCATTCCACGGTCGAATGAAGCTCGACTCTATGTATCGTCTAAAGAATTGGTACTCTTTGGGTGGTGGATGTTCTCCACTCCATACAATGATGATCCTATTTAAGGGTTGTCCGTCCTTGTAAATCCTCCGACCTCTAAAAACACCTGGAAGATGCAGTGCTTCCTCAGCGGCAGCCTCCTTCGGAAACCTGGTAACCAGGTATTCCCCATATTTTTTGCTTTTAGGCCAATAGTCGTCCTTGTTCTGGAGAGAAATCCCCGCGAAAGTGCCATTAGCTTTCAGGGCCACGTAATTTTGTTGTTCCCGTCATACATAGACGTAGCGAGAGGATACCCATTTACCCTGCACCATGTCTAGCGGGCCTTCTTCTTGGGGGAGCGGCAGCTGGCTGACCTCCCTCATCCACCTGCTTTTATCTACAGTAGACGTGTCCTCTGGAAAGGCCACTTTAATGTACTTGTCATAGGAAGCAAGATTACTGCTACATTGTTTTCATACCCTGAAGTCTCTACCTAAGTCTGAGGACGAGAGGGTGAAACGCCGGTTACCTACACAAGACTTTCAGAACAATGCGAGTCCGAGCGAAAAAATCAGCATTTTCTTTTTCTTTACACGATAAAATATATGTACATATTTTTGTTACACTCTATTTCCAAGTTTCCTACTATGGCGGAATAAGTTCAGAAATGGGTTATATAAACACGATTTACGAATGCGGTCCCTGGCGATTTTGTGTAAACCCGCTAAATCGCAAACTATTGCATGACCAAGAGCGGTCATTACAATTTGAGGCATATATTTCATTTCCGAGTTGCACCCTTTAATGTGTATGCATGAAACCACATCCTTTAAACAAGCGATGAGACGCCATCACAGCCGTTCACCGATCTCCAGGCCATGTAATGTATGACTTCTCAGAGAGAATTCTAATGCCTAATAAACATGAAAAAACTAATTAGAGAACTGATCACAGTATGACCCAAATTTGATACTAATATCCGTATATAAAGCTTAATTATTTTCTTCTGGCTCGTAATACTGCAATATAAATTTTATTTAACAAAAATAACTTGAACTTGAAACGAGACGAAATTTGAGTAAGAGTATCTTTTTTTCATTGATAAGGTCGGCTGGCAATTCATGCCCCACAACAACACCAGGACAGAAACGTGCCTCTGCCCGTATCTCTCTCTCTCTTTCTCTGTTCGAAGTAAAATTCAATAATTCAGATATCATCTGTATCATTAAGGAACATAGTTTGATAAATAATCATAATTAAATATAGAATTTATATAATTTTCATTCATAAAGGCAGACTTCCTTTACTAGCAGATTTTATTTGTCATCATACGTCACTTGCCATTATACGTCATTTCAGCGTAGCTTCAAGTATTTTACAAATACAATCTATAATCACATTTGCAGTTGCTCAGACTACTGACCATAGACGTTTGCAACCATTATATGGAAATACATTGGCTATCGCAAGAAACCACTCAAAATGACTGACACGCATTCCCAACTCTTCAGCAGTCACCATACCAGTTAAGCATTCCAACATCACCAGTCCCACTCTCCTAAAGAGCTCAGCAGCCCTCAATCGCAGCTCCTACAAATCGTCCACTGACTCCGCTGATCCCTCAACAGAGACGAATCCTCCGATGTTCACCCCTTCGGCGAAGTCCCAATACTCGTTGACAATGACGGCAGGACGTACTGGTTCCCCCCAACGCACATCCGGGTTCCTTGTGACCTGGACCTGTCCTCATGGCCGAGCGATGAGCATGAGTGTGTCATCAGGATGGGGTCCTGGACACATCGCGGGGAACAGCTTGACACGCAGCTCTTGGAGCATAATGGGACAGCTGTAAGTGTGATTCAGTCTTTA